GAGCTGTGTCTCCGCCCTTCGTCGGGCTCCAGGCCCTGCGGGGCACGTGCATCTCTTCTCCTACTGCAGCCCAGGCCCTGGGCGCCAGACATCAGCAGAGCAACATGGGGCTAGTTTTTACTGATTAACCCCAGTGCTAAATCTGTGAGCTCTGATAACTCCAACACAAGAAGACAAAAAGACTCTGAGCAGCCCAGGGGTCTGGATGGAGGGGGTCTTGCTGTAAAAATGTTCCCTCGGAGCCGTCAGGTACAAGCAAGCGCCTAGAATGAGATTTATATTTTGTTGATTACAACGGTAATAAGCCACAAACACAAATTCAAAGAGTAAGAGTGAACCAAACCCATGTTCTCTTTGAGTGAGATAGAATCTCTACCTTTTACACGCCTATCTATTGATGTGTTCCTGGATAAAATGTGTAATTTTAATTAACTGAAAGTACCTGCCTTTTACATTGGACGTGGTGCTAAAAACAAAGAAAAATAGACAGCAAAAATGCCATGTTGGCTGACTGCATATTTCTTTTGTGCTGAGAAATTGGGATGTGCACTGCTTTCCTCTCAATCAATACACATTAGTGTGTAATTGGGGAGTATAAAAATATCTGCATCACTTTGCTAATTCTCTTGCCAATTAGGTGTAAGCATTTATGTGTTAAGCTTCTCTGCTGCAGGTTCCACAGATAAATTTCTTTCTATTAGTGAAGCAGCTAAGGGGAATGTAATTGTCCCTAAAATAGGGAAGAAAAGAAAAAATCTAAAAACAAATGTGTTAATACAGAACCAAAGCACAAGGAAATTAAATTCTTCACTGTAATTGTAAAATACTATACTAGTATGAAATATTTGTCTCTGTTATTTAGACTATCATGTCAAAAGCATCTCCATTTAACACACATAGTTGTAAGTATGGAGGTATAAAGATTTGTCTTTTTATAACTCAAGAGTGCTGTGTTTTTGTTGGATCTCAGAATTAATTGGTCAGTTCAGATCCCTTGACCATACTAAAGATGAATTTTAGATCAAGAATTTATATTTACAGTGAACCAAATATCTGAGCAAATGGGTATATCATTAGAGCTAACTTTTAATCTCCGTCCAGGCCCAAATCTCAAACATTCCTCCTGGATATCCTCTCTCTGCCCAAGGGTTTTGCCATCGCACTCTCTCTTTCAACACCACCCTGTTGTTTGGCTAGCAAGACACGTTGTTTCTCTATCTCAACCAAGGATTTTGCCAAGTCCTGTTGCTTCCACTTCTGTAGCATATTTAGAATTCCTCCAGCCCTCTCTATCTTGAAATTCTTGGCCCTGCACAACTGTTTTATTTTGGCTGCTAGAAGCCCACACTAACCTAACCAGATTTTGGCTGGCAACAGAGATCTTTTTAACCATGTCTGTTTTTCCCTGGGCACATCCTTGTTTACTGAGTCTGGTGGTGGTGGAACCAATACAGCAATACTCAGCACATAAAGACACCAAGGAAAATCCATGCTGAGTCTTTCAAACAAATAGAAGTGCCACAAAACAGAGTTGAGGACGTGGCTTAGCCTAAGACTCAGGTTTTCTTTGTAGGGTTTTTTTTTTTTTTGAGGATACCTGTGTCTGTCTACTGAATACAGCTTCTTTTTACTGTTTCCAAAATGCAAGCATATGATGTACAGTTTTAATTTTTCCTGCCCAGTTTGCACACAGGTGAATGCCCACAAGCAACTCTCTCTGGGTAAGGGCAAACATGATGTAGAGACTCTGTGATTCTCCCATTAAATCTGACTGAACTGGGCTATTACAGCTAATAATGTCTGTTAATATATTAGTAGACTGCTGGTTAATGTACATGGGTAGATAAATGTAGATGTTGGTATTGGTGATGGCAGTGATAAAAATATAACAGTACAAACACAGTCTTCTGCTGCAAATCACTTTTTCCTTTATTACCTTCCCCAAGTAAAATTCAGCTTTGATTCTAGTAGCAAGCCTTTAAGGAAGGCTCAGACAACACTTATCCCAAACCTCTTTTTACCAGTATTATCTTCCTTCTCTGGTAGGTTAGATAGAGCACTAACTTCAAGAGTTCTCCTATATACAAGGTGCACAAGATTGTTTTTGTTGAAGAGTTGCTTCAGTGGTTTACTAAAAGACAGAGTTCATTTTTTTCTTTTTTTTTTCTTTTTTTTTTTATTTTTTAGGGCTTTTTATAAAACCCATTTTTACTGCACTTGGAAAATGTGACTATACAATGGGAAAGGGCAGGCCCTCCTTTTTTTTTTCTTGTCTGAACACAATGGCAGGATAAGGGAGGCACCGCTCATTACAAGGAATACACTTTAATCAAGTTGCCCAGCACCAAGTGTTTGTCTTCCACCACTCTAGATGCCAATGTTTGTTTTCTCTCTGAGAGAAGAAACAGAAAACATTTTTTCATTTTAATAAAAATCTTTCAGAATGAAGCAAACAGATGACCTAATTTGGAGGATCCACTTTACTTGGTAAAGATGATTGGAGGTCTCCCGTACAGCATTGCTGGAGGAGATTTAACACTTTCCTGCTCAGTTTGCTAGCTGGGAACTGTGAGATTGATTGCAATGGTGTTTGATTCGACTCTCCCTGCTTCAGCAACATTGCCATTACTATCACATAAAGCTCAGCTTGAGTGGGAACTACAAAATATGCTGCTGTGACTAAAGCTGCAGTTGGAAAGGTGGAAATCTGGCTTTATTAAACACATGCGGGCGCCTGTTAAAATTACTTCTGCAGCTAAACCCAGGATTCACAGCAGTCTCGTTCTCTGGTACGACAGCATCCAGCTTTAAAAAAAACCAGCTGTTTCCAGATTCAAGGATATCAAAGCAAGTCTTCTGATATGTTTCTTTATCCTACAGGAGTGGGTGTCTAAGTATACAAAGACAAGAAATCATAATCATAAGAAAGACTCATCTTTCACCTAAATAATTCATTTTAAGCCTCCAAGTTTGCACAGAAAAGCCCAAAATCCTTAAAGACTCATAGTGCAGGGAAACTGAAATGCTTATTTATTGTGAAATCTCATTAAATCAAAGCCAATTTCCAGGACTTGGAGCTCGAGTGCTACATTTTTTGTGCTGTTGGCTGACAGGAGGCACTAACAACACTTGAGGGCTTCAAACATCTTGTCCTGTCTGGATGTAGCATCTGGTGACAGCAGAGACTGACTGTATTCCCTGTGACCAGGCAGAAACAACAGCCTGAAGGCTCCTGTTCTGTTCTAGGATTCATCTCCTTCAAAGCTAGATCTCCCATCCTTGTCTCCAAGCAGCATGGAACTCCCAAAATAAAGGGACGTGAGGGTAAAATGAAGGGCAAAGAGGCAGAAACAAGAAACCTAAGTCCTCTTTCCCCTACATCACCTTGAATACCAAGGGAGCAGCCCTGTTGTCACCGAACTGCAGGCACAAAAGGTGCCTGAAGTTTGTCTTCCTGAGACTCCCTGCTGGGAACACAGGAGGGACACCAGGGAAGAGGAGACAGGAGATAGTGGAGGACTGGAACCAATGTGTTTTCTGCCATGCACTTCTCCCCAGATAAACCCCTACTTGCCTTGCATCACACAGTACATCATAGCTGAGACTTGGTAGAATCTATCAACTTGTCTATGAACTTCCAAAAAATACCAAATTAACTATCAGCCACCATGAGATGGTTTACCTTGGAAGTTGTACTCCAATGGTGAAAGAATTTCTCTTTTAAAGCTGCCTTTCTGTAGCTTCCTACTGCTAATTCTGACTATTGCAATGCCATATGGCATCTCCCTCCAAGGGTGAATCAGGCAAAAATGAGGGAAAAAATGATTTTTTGTGAGCACATTCTGGGACCTGCTCTTCTGCCTGCCTGCACTAGAACATACAGAAGGTATTACTGACAGCCCAGGCTACCTGTGCAACGCAGCTAATGTGCAAAAATAAATGGTTTGTTGTAAGCATCTCATAACAATATCTGGTAAAACATACACTGGACACTGAACACCTTGAGGAGTGCATTGACTGACGACAAGCATGGTATTCAATCTTTGTCTAGGATCCATCTGTGAATGGATCAGTCCTCATTTTCATAAAATCACTGTTTATTGTACTGGCCCAATAATTGCTACTATTAAAGCAAAAGGCCTTGTAGAGTATCAACAACCTAGAGTTGTGAGGCACCTACCTAGGTGTGCTGGAAGGTGCCGCATGCAAATATCTATACTCATCAGATGGGCATTTCTTTGCTTATTACTGTTTTCCCTTTGCCATCTCTTAGGGCAGTTCCCCTCCATGGCATTCGTGGATACCAGCTGCCTACCTGTTTTAGCCAGCAGCTGCTATCAGCTTTGTGCTATTCATTTGGCAGAGCTCTCACTCCTTAGCAGGTTGTTATGGTTATGGGCATTTTCCTGTGTTGGAAGGACCAGGAATGAACGTGCTTTCCTGTGCTTTTGGCCCACATCACCTCTGTGGCACATGGAATATCCAGCTCCCTGAAACCACAACCCCTGTTCATTGCTGACATTGCGGAATCATCTGGATTCAAGATGATTCAAGATGTGATCTCTTCAAGATTTTTCCTCCTAAACACTGTAAACCACCTTGGGATTTATTTTACCATTTATTTTGCTATGACCAGGAGGATGTTGGATTAATATTTCCTCTACCAAAAGCAGCAACACTGTCAGCAGAGAGTTTGTCCCATAAACTGGATTGGAGCTGGACAAGCAGGACTCCTGGTGACATGAACAATGGATTGTTCTGGAGAATTATCTGCAGAAATCCTGCTATATCTCATCTACAGAGAAGCGTCAGAGATCTCAAGCTGGGGCTAAGGAGTAACCACTGGCACTCAGGACAGACTCCTGAAGACTTCACTACACATAAAGCAGGCACCAGGTTTATCCACTCCAACATAAGGGTTTCAGACATGTCAAAACAGTTCAAATCAAACATCTCGCCATTCATTAATCATGTTCTTTGCTCTCTTTTTTTTTTTCTTGTTGTAAAAAAATGTGCATAAAACAAGGGCAGAAGTATAAATTTATTGTCTATAGACTGGAAATCTTTTTTTTCCGGTCAGCTCTGTTCCTGAGTCAGTTATCGTGTGCACTGCCAAAGGAAGTAATGGAAGTTGTCTATACAAAAGAAAGGGAGCACAAATCAACAGGAGGGAAAATTGGGTTTATCTTGAGCCACCGGCAAAAACAAAGCTGTCAACGATGTGAAATGAGACAGAGCTCACTGCAGACTTGCATATTCTGCATCGATGATATCTAAGTTGCATGACTGCTTTGCAGCTCTTTTTCCTTCAATCCAAATAATATCAGACTTCAGATTTCTTCTCAGCCTATCTGTCTGCTTGCAAGACACTACTGCATTGATTTCCATCTGGTGCATGTTTTAAAAGTTTTCCTCACAACCCTAAGGATTAACTGCCCTTTTTTTTTTACAGAACTTCGGATTCTGAAGCATGCTGAAGAAAACAATCACAGCAAAGAAGCACCAAATCTCTTGCAAACTCTCCCCTCATCACTGGGCATTCAAAGACGCACCAGCAGCTGTTAATGTAACGTTATGGATGATTAGCAGGACTTCCTGTATCTAATGAACATAGCTCTTTCAGAGAGGAGACACAGTGCAATGCTGTCCCAGGAAAATAAAAACGATGTAACGTTCAGTCAGGAATGCATTTACTACATGGCCCGGAATGGTGAATTGATCTCATGCTTCTGTAACAAAGATCTCATCTGTAGTCCCCATGCACTGCCGGCACTGGCACGGCTTCAGAACGAGCCCGACAATCCTGCTCCCAAAAGGAACTGATTAGGAGGGATGTTCCAGGAGCTATTTGATACAGGCAGCACAGTTCAGAATGCCATTTATAGAGTAAAAAAAAAACCAAAAACCAGTATACAGCAATCTTAAGTATTTTCATGTCTAGGAATGTCAACGGCATCCTCTGACAGTAAAAATACAGGCTTTTTAAGCACTCCTATAACCACGGTGTTCCTGGACTTGAAGGAAGTAGAGCTGACGGACAGATGTTTTGGTGTGAGCATGGCACAGAAGAGAAAAAGGTTCCGTTTGTTTTCCACTCCTTTCCTCTTGATTTTAACTGGAATTATAAATGTAGATCCATTTAAAATCCCACTGCTCATATCTCCATGTCTTGTTGCACACAACAAGGGTATCCAGGGATACGTGGAACAAAATGTAGAGTTGTCAGACGACCTAATGGTGATGGGAATAAGGATAACATAAGTAACACAGGCAACTTGTATGAAAGGCTTTCAGCATCTTTTGCTGAATACCCAACTTATGGCAACAGCGCAAAAGCAAGGGAGTGAAAATGCACTTGGGAGTTCAGCTTCGTCAATACTATAAAATAAACTCAAAATGGGTGTTGCCCAACCCAGTTGTCAAACATCGCTGCTGCAATACAAAGACAAATGTTTGTTGGCTTAACTTTGAAACTGCAGTAAATGCTCTTCTATTCAATTAGATAAACAAATACAGGACTGAGTATATAATAGGGTCCTTTCAAGTAAATTATGCTTCCTAACACGTGTAAAAGAAAAATTACTTTAATGTTTATATTTCTGTAAAATAAAAAGCCATCAAGGCTCTCCTTCTGTTATATTCCAAATATAAAAATTAAAGAATGTTTAAATGATGTCCATTTTATGACAGTGTCAGCAAAGAAAAGCAAAGAAGTATAGTCAGGCTGACAATCCAGCTTTTCTTCTCACTGTTAGGAGAGAGAGGGAGAAAAAAATTTACCATTCTGTTCTCATTTACAGTAGCACAAATCCCCAGGAACTGCACTGACTTCGGTTAGTTATTTTGGATTTATGGCACACTGAAAGAGATTAGAATTTAGACACACATGAATAAAGAACAGAACATCCACGTTCACTCTAAAGGCGTTTCCCTTTCCTATGTACACAGAACAGCAATGCTGTCCTTAGCAGTGACAGATTATGTGCTGTTGGTTTACCTGCTCGCCTGGAGATATTTATACAGGTACCAAGTGGGAAGCCTCAGTGAAGGAAGTGCTTAGTTACCCTCTCCAGCAAATACATCCCAATCTATGTCCAGGGAAAATTGCCTTCTCTACAGCATCAGGGCGCTAGGCAAGGGCTAACATGCATACACACAGCATTATGCACCCAGTGATGAGAACCACCTGTTTGTGAGTCTGTTCTATTGTCTCTGCCAAAAATTGGCTCTAAGTCAGGACAATCTCTCATGCAGATATGTTAGCTTGCATGGGTTTCATATCTTTAAAACACCAAGTAGAAAACTGTAGTCGTGATTATAGAACACTATGGTTAAAACAATATATAATTCCTGACCTTGATGGAGGAGGGCATTTTGTTCATACAGTCTGCTTAGCTATGAGAATCTAGGATTTAGTCTAGGCAGAAAGGCAATGCACTGAGTAGCTCCCTGTTAATTTGAAAGCAATGATATGCCCTGCAGAGCACAAACCAACTTTGTACACAAAACACCCCATGCCTTGTCCACCTTGCTCAGCTGGGGTACAACATCCTCACGCAAGAGCAGGTGGCCAAACAAACAGTGTCTTTTCCTTTGGTTTTGATTCCTGTCAACATTAAACACATCCACCTCTTACACTCTGCAGGCTTTCAAATGAAGTGGCTGCAGGCAAGGAAGAGGCATTAAGAGAGGGAGCATTGCAAAAATAAAGTGAGAATAGGCTGCTCCAGGAGATCGACAGAGATTAAGGTTGGATATCCCTGGTCTCGGTTTTACTGTGAGCATACTAATGGCCACATCTGCAATTGAAATGCTCTGGAAACCTTCACTGCAGCCTCCAAGAACACAGTGCAAAATAATAAATCCAGCAAGATGGTTCACAAATAGGAAAGAGGAGGAAGGGTTGATTTTTGTGGTTATTATTTTTTGAATTATAACCAAAAAACTGAAAATGTCTAAATATGTAGAATGTTTATTAAAAAAAATTGTCAAGGTTTCAAAGTCAAGCACTCACAAGTTAGGAAAATGTCAATGGCAACAGTTTTGAGAGTCCAGTATAAAATGCCTAGGATTTTGTTTTTCAGAGCTTTGATTTTTATGGAGACCAAATCTCTTGGAGACCCAATCTTTTAAAGACCCAAACGCTAACATTCCAGTGAGCTCTCAACAACAGATCAGCTCAACTTCTTGCAGATTACTTGCTCAATCACCTCAACTCAATCAGTCCAACCCTTATATTGCTTCCTGACTTCAAGTCACTGATAATGAAATCCTGCTGCTCTGTATCTCCAACCCATATCCCTCACTGCCATAGCCAAATCATTGTCCATGCTGTCCTTCAATCACATGCTTTTTGATGAAAAGTTACAACCCCCTGAAGTAACTTGTGGAGCACCTACCCTGTCCTTCCTCTGAGCTCTCCTCCAACTCAGTTCTAACGAATCTCACTAAAGCATTTAGGCTGTTTTGTTCTGTGATTTGATCACAATGATGAGCACAATAAAGTTCTGGATTCCTCAGTTTTGGTACAACAGAAATAAATATGAAAATAATATAGTATGCCTAATGAAGAGGAGGCAGAAAAATGGCCAGTTGTGTCTCTTTACCTTTCTATCACATAAATCACACATACATATATTTATATTTAAATATATCAAAATAGAAGCCAGATACCTGCTCCCTACATCTGTTGGAATAAAACCCCTCTGACTACACTTTTCCTTTGGAATGTCTCAATTTACCAAACAGAAAGATTTCATCCAGACAAGTATTCAATTAAATTCCTTTGGAAAACAGGCAAGCTTCCACTGGAGCTACGCCAGCCCCAGCTTCTGAGCAGCCCAGCTGGTACTCTCCTGAGGACCAGGGTTTCCAGTTCCCACAGCTTCAACAAAACTGCCTGAAGATTAAGGACACTTGGACTTATAATGCCTACAGTCCAGGGCAGGCTACCAGGCACAGCACAGTGTTGTGGTCACTGGGGAGCTCAGAGATACCAGGGTCATGGCTAGAGCCATGGCCAACATTCAAGTATCCCACAGCTCAGGCTCCAGTCCCTTTTACAGGCAATTTCAAACTATTGGAACATCAAGGTTCCCTGAGAAATCAAAATACTTTTCTCCTTCCAGCTCTATTGCATACATATGTGGAAAACAAAAGAAGATTCTTCTTGATCTTTTCCTCTCCTTCAGCTGTTCCTTATTACTGTATGTTCATCTTGTTTGTTCTTTTGTATGAATTAGTTTGCTGCTTTTTTTTGGTGAAAGACACCATTTTTCTACCTGTATTTGAACAGTTTCCAGCATAATGAGATCCAGATATTAGTTGTGTGTGGTTTTGTAATGCAAGCAACACAGTGTTATCATTTTCTTTTTCCCTCATTAGAGAGAAGTTAATTGAAAAATCAAAGCCTTCCCTCTAATCATTTTCACTCTGCTAGCTGTAGGCAACATTTGTTGGATAGTAATTAAAATAATATAAAAGTATCTAAATTTTGCATGCATATTGTTTCTTATTTTTTTCACAGGCTGTGTGTTTGTTCTTCCCCCAGCTGAAAAGCTAGAAATGAGAATTGACTTCCCAAGTTCTCACCCACCTCCCTCTATTTTATACCATATTGCAACTTGTCATATTACATTGTGAATATCTTAAGGACTATTTGACATATTAGTTGCATATTTATGTTGAAGAGCTTTTTCCCTCCACTATTTTTAGATAGATCAATTTTACATGTCATGATACACATATCTATATTTATACTGAATATGCTTAAATTTTTTTTTTCTTACCATATTTAGTTCAAGGCTTTTAATGATGTTATGCACTAAAAAAAGAGCTTTTTATCAGACTTTATTTCACAAGGCAGATGGATACATATCAGTTCTTCTGGGAAATCACACTACTCTACTAGGCACAGGTGAGTTTCCTAATACAGCCAGGAGACAGTACTTCACAAAGTAAAGACCAAGATGGTTGCTCTCATTAAGAGAGACACACTTTGTGTTTCTCAAAACAAGGAGGAGCTAATGAAAACATCTAAGGCAAACAAACTATTTCTTTAACTCACTGTGGTGCACATCAGTGATAGATACCACACCTGTCTTTCTCCTGCTGTCAGTCCTCACAAACCCAGTTCTGCAAATCCATACATGAATAATTGCTCCAGCTTCTTCAGACTGAGGCTATTCATGGGATTAAAGCAGCTCTGGACCAACTGATGGTGAACAAAATTGCTGCAACATAATGTTATGTACTGCAGTGCAGACCTCTAACTTTATATTTGGTAATTGAAATGTAAATAATTTATTAAAAAAAAAAGGCGTCGCTCAGAAAAGTTACTACTAAAATCAAAACAAATTTCTCTAGGGCTCTATTTACAAAGCCAAGAGAATTGGATAAGCACGATTCCTGACTTTCATGAATGTAACCAGGGTGGTTATGCCCCAGAACTGAATAATAATTAAAAGTTAGATATTGGCAGTTTCAGGCTTGCTTTTCCACAGGAGCCTAAGGGGTAAACCTTAGAAGGCAAACTTCACAACAGCCACTTCATTATGGAAAGAACAAGCATCTGATACCAAGAAAGGCACTCAAAACTAACATCTCTGTGGCAATGCAAGGATGACCCACATGAAGAGGATAAGATTTCATGCTGTCAACCATAAGGATTTCCAACATAAGTTTACAAAATATGCTGAATTTTGGACACTTTCACCCACCTTTCTCTCTAAGCATGTACAGCAAAGGTGTCCAACCTTCCTGATACCTTATGTGATCTTAACAAAAACTGCACGTGGGAGCTGAGGAGGAAGTTCTGGAAGCAGCTTCCAGGCAGAGGAAAACGGATCTGCTGGCATCCCAAGTCATCTGCAGCTGGACGGGCTGAACTGGGCACACAGCCGGATCCTGGCTTCAGCCAGTGCCCCTTGGCTTCAGCAGCCTCTGCTGCCCAGAGCTGGGCATTCAGGTTATCTGTCACCCCAACAGCAAAGCCTTTCTACCAAATATGTGGCATCACCTTGGCACAGGACCTGTGCATAACAGCTCACAAATTACAGGTTTGTCATTGCTTCATTTCCTGGCCTTTTTTTTTTTTCTGCAGCCATGAGGGTTAGAAATTGTCTTTTAAAAATGAAAGCTGAGAATTGCAAGTCTCTAGTTCCTGAGGCTTCCATATTTGTAGTATCTTAGTAACTACTGTTACTACTACCGTAACAACTCACAACTGTCAAAAGACATAAGAAAGTAATGATACTCTGCAATATCTCGAGGAGTCCTCTGGAGATAAGAAATGCTCAGGACCTGATGATTTTTTGTTCATGAGCCATGGCATGTCAAAGAGCAAAGTGATCCTGGCAGGGACTGATGGAGATTAAAAGCACATGCAGATGCTCAGACACACAGAAATCGCTATGGAAAACGTGCTGCCTAACTGTGCATGAATGAACCCAATAGCTCAGGCACCTCACTAAGCTCCAGCAGGAAGAGGGAAGTACTGCAAGGGACATTCCTGGCTGTCCACCCACGGTAAACCTGCATGCAGGTGGAGGTGGGAGGGTGTGCTTGGCTCCCGGAGCCATCGCGAGCAGAAGGGCAGTAGCACCAGGCTCTGGACGGGAACGTTCCCGGTTGTGTCCCAAAGCAAACAGCAATAAAACAAACTGCTAATGAGGATGCAACCTGACCCTCTGCAGAGCGTATGCCCAAGGACTGTGTGACTGCAAGGGGAAGAGAAGGACTGTGTCGGCAGAAATTTCAAGCTAAAGGGGATTTTTTTTAAATGAGCAATGCAAAAAAAGAAATAATGTTTGGGTACTTCGCTGGTAATAAAAGTTACTCACAAAGTAACACAGGGCAAACACTGCTTTGGAGAGAAGTCTGTTAAACAAAGAACCTTACCCTGCAGAAAGAACTCCTTTTTAACACTAATGTTAACATTTCATTTCTTGTAAGAAATCCCTGTGAATCTTCCCTTGAGACTCTTCAGCTCCAGAGAGGACACTTCTCCTTTTTCTCTCTCTGCCTGCTGACGTACTCTGCTGATCTTCCTTTCCAGGAAAGGAACAAAAGTTCTACTCAGTTTTTTGCTTTCTTTATTAGGTTGTTTATCAGACTGTTACACAAACCATTCTCACAGCCTTCAGAGCCTGTGTGGTGAAACATCTAGATTTTAGTATTTTACAACAGGAGACCAGCAGCTCCAGGAAATAAAGAACTCATGAGGAAATCACTCACGGCAGCGTTCACATCCTTACATCTGTTATTTTAAAATGCAAGAAAACAACACACAGTACAGAAGCCACTGTTAAGGGGGAAAAAGGAATGTGTTTAATGTAATGAAATGCAACCTGTCATTCTGACACATTCCTGGTTTCTGTGAGTCAAATTAACAGTATCACTTAACAAGGAAGATGTGATGGCATGAGGCAGTTGGTTTGTGGAAGGATATCAGCGGTAGCTATTTCAATTAGGAGTGCAATGGTAAACCTGGATAGCGCTCTGCAAAGAAGCTGTGACAGCCAAGAGTAACCCAGGATATAAGAAGTTTGGGAACTGATGATTTAGGGACAGTATCACAGAAATGTAAATGATACCTAATGGAGTGGTGCTAATCAAACCCTAGAGATTTTGCAGGCAGTTAAATGTGAGCTTAAACTTAAGCATCATAATCTTCTCATTGAAGGTAACAGACACGAACAGAGTCATTGGACACTCTGGAATTATGGATGCCTGTTTTCCCAAGTTTCTGGATGAACACCATCATTAGTAATGCTGGTTTAAAAAGGAGCAGACACAGGGATGTCAAATAACACCCAACAGAGAAGCTGGGACAGCGCTCGGACTGAGCAAACATGCCTGGTCTCTCCATTTCCTTTGGAATCAAGTTACTCCAGAAAAAGTGGTGTGTGCTTGGTGGGCACATCCCCTGGTGGGACTTTATGTGGAAACAGAGCTCTCCCAACCCCTGAGCTGAGCCGCTGAGCAGCATCCCTGCATTGTATCATCTCATAATTATTGCTGTGAAGCCAGTGCACTTAGAGCTAGGCTGGAATCACTGTTCCAGTCAGCAGAGGCAAGCCACGAAAGCAGTGAAAGGGAACAGGAAAGCAGGAGTGCGTTTCACCCATCCAGAAGTTTTTCCCCCTTTGCTACTATCCATCTGAATAAATGGGAACTTAGGGGAATTTCCTTCTTGGGATTGTTCTTGGACTAGCAAATGTAAAGCCACTTGCTGCACAGGTTAGTTAGGCCTTAATGAAGAACAGCAATGAAATTCAGGTCCAGGTGGTGAATGGTCAGTCCCACTATGCAGGACATATTTTTCCTATTTATTTTCTCACTCAGATTTCACCTCTAAAATGGGAACACTAAGGCAGCTCCTCAGTCTCAGCCTGTTAAACCCTTAGTTCAGCTGGCATACTCACAAAAAAGATTTTCCAACAAAAAAATCGACAAGTCTAAGTTGCGACACCAGAGCACCCCAAAATGTGTTTTCCCGTGACAATCCACTAGACTGTTCCAGGTACATTAACGAGATCAGGTCTGTGACACATCACAACCCCAAAAGCTTCCCACCTAAAGCTAGGAATGGAATAAGCAATCCATCACACAGTATGACATGTTCCTCAAAACACACACACACTCAAAACCTGAAAGCGGTGTCAGAATGTTTATTGAAGAGGGCAATCTGAGTGGCTGAACCGACCTGGGTAGCCGGTAACTTTTAACATAAGCAAACAGAGATACTGTAAACCTGCTGTGCATGGAAACTGTGTTTATACTTAAATTGGACTTAGAAGACTGAAATAACTTACTAGAAAAATATAGCTTAAGTTCCCAGGAGCTCTGAATGACCTCAAGATCGTTCTGAAAAAAGCAGAAATATATGGACATATACAGTGATGCAAACAGAGTTATACAAATATTTTCAAAGTCAGCTAATAAAATACATTTCCTTGCCTACTTTTTGTGATAGCTTTGCAAACATACTTTTAAAACCACACTTTTCAGCCCCACCAAACATTTTTTTGCCACTTGCGTTATCAGAACTGATGGTAAGCATTCTGCAATGTAAGTGCTGCCTCATTTACTTTTTAGCGAGTTTTGTAACTGCTTGGTCTGTTCCTTTTAGCCAGACTGCTGGGATTCTTCTTACCACAGGACAAGATAATAAACCTTCTTAGTGATGACGTGGAAGTACATTAGAAGACAAAAAAAGAAACATATGCAAGAAATTTCAAATTAGTCTCAGTGCAGTCGATACATTGACAAAATAATTTGATTTATACAGCAACCAAAATAGCTGTACACAGGAACATCTGCACGGAAAGTGACCACAAATCAGAGAGATAATGACCACTACAAAAAGTGAGCTCTGTTGCTCATGAACCCAGAAAATCATTACTAGAAGCATTAAAACAACAAGGATAATCTAACCTGGCGTTGCATAACAATGATCAAACTCTTATGAAAATCAGAAAACTGCTAAATCTGATAGTGATTTATTTAAGACAAAAGTGAAGTAAAGGGAGAGAGAGTAATTATTTTGTAACTTGGTTGAAAAAAGACAAAATAATTTAATTGAGCTGCATTTATTCTTCTGCCATGGGTTGGGTGTGTGGCCACAACTGGAAGCTGACGCTGAAAGGGAAAGTTGGAGAAGCAAAAAGTGATGCACTGCAGGCTACCAATGAATCTGTATTCACCCCTGCATTTTCCACACCACTCATACAACCCCCATTCTGACACGAAAGCACCACACAGGCCGGCATAAGTGACTGTCCTTTTAACAGCAAGGTGCTCCTCCTGCAAAGCCTGATGTATAATCAGGATCGGGATAACCTGTGGCAAAAAGGTAGCACACAGGTGGCATCCAGTTCAGTTCAGTGGAGGAACACCCCACCAATTTTGGTGTAACGTGTGGACATAACTGACCCCGAGAGCATGTGCCAACCTCCTGAGCAAATATCATCGCTAATCGGTGTTTCTGGAGAACAATGCAACTATCTGAAGGCAGGTTGCAGCGCGGTGGTGGCCGGTCCCTTCTGCCGTGCCTGCAGTGAAAGGACGAGAGCAGATGGGCTTAGGCTGACACAGGGGACATTCAGATTACATACCAGAAAAAAAATTTTCATTGTCGGGTGGTCAGGCACTGGAATAGGTTGCCCAGGGAGGTGGTGGGCTCACCACCCCTGGAGGTGTTTAAGAGGCGTCTGGACCTGGCGCTGGGCGATGTGGTTTGGTGCTTTAGGGGTTACAGCGGCAGGGCTCGGTTGACGCTTAGGACTTCATCTTAAAGGTGTCTTCCAACCTTGACGATTCTACGGCTCTGTGAATAAAGGCGACGGGGCCCGTGTCCCCGTTTTGGGGGCGAAACGCAGCACTCCCTGATCCCGGTTCTGTCAGAGGGCAGGACAGCGCCGCACCCGCGCCCCGTCAGCGCCCCGGGGCCGCTCCCGGCCCGGCCCGGCCCGGCCGCCGGCGGCTGCGCGCGCCTCTCCCCTTCCTCCCCTTCCTCCTCCTCCCCCCCTTCTCCCCCTCCTCCCCCGGCAGGGATGGAGGCCATCGAGGAGCTGGCGCTTCAGCCCTGCACCTCCTCTCTGTACCTGCGGCCTTTCCGCCTCTCTTACCGGCAGGTGAGTGGCGCCGCCGGCTCCCCCCGCCCCCTCCCGCCGGTGCCCTTCACCCCCGCCTGCGCCATTTTGGGGCGGTGGCGGTGTCGCCTCATGGCGCCGCCCGCCCCGCTCCGCCCGCAGCGCCCCTGGGGCGGCTGCGCTGCCCCCCGGTACCCCCTCGGCCCGCCCTGAGGTGGGGCTGGAGGTGGGCAGCCCGATAGAGCGCGGGGTCACTGCTGTGCGGTGCCCCCTGTGCCCACTGCTCACCCGGGGCTGGCACTGTCGTCTTCACCCCGTGCTGGTTTTGTGGTTCACCTCACGCCTTGGGCCTTGCCTTGGTGCGGATATTTCACATCCTGAGCCCGTTGCTGGCCAGCTCGTTGCTGACATCCACAAGTGTTTAAGGGTCTGGGGCATCTCTCATAAGGAGAGACTGGGGGAGCTGGGCCTGTTTGGCCTAGAGAAGACCGAGAGGGGATCTCATTCATTCATATAAATATCTCAAAGGCAGGTGCTGAAATGATGCTGCCAGACTCTTGTTGGTGCTGCCTAGCAACAGGACCAGGAGCAATGGCCATAAACTTAAAACCCAAAAAGTTTCACCTCAACATGAGGAAGAACTTTACGTTGAGGGTGACAAAGCAGTGGAACAGCCTGCCCAGGGAGGTCATGGAGTCTCCCTCTCTGGAGACATTCCAAACCCACCTGGATGGGTTCCTGTGTTTTTGCCTTGGACTAGATGGTCTCCGGAGGTCCTTTCCAGTGCTAACAATTCTGTGATTCTGTGAATTACTCCGCTGCTCTACCAGCCCAGCCGCAGCACCTGCAGTTGGGAAGCGGGAGAGGAACTCCTGTCCTTTATCATGTTTATATCAGCGTGAGTCACACAGGATCACAGAGAACTGGTACCTGCAACAGCGCTGGAAATGCAAGGTGTGAAAGGAAGGTTGCTTCTCGGAGTGCAAAGCTCTACATGTTCCTTGGACTCTTTCCTTGGACCTGCACAAAGCCAGTTGTTTCTCTGGCTGACTGGTCCAGGATGAGCTTTTACCCAGGCAGAGGGGTGGAGGGGGAAATGCATAAAAATTTGGACAGCCCTAGGAATACATGCTGCAAAACACATCTCTTATTCTTTATTTGCTTCGCTTCTGGACGCCTCAGTTGGAAAGGCAGAACGGGAATGTATATGGAGGAAGTGTGTTTAAGTCCAACAGTGAGATACAATACAGAAAAGGAAAAACAAGGGTTCAAATAGATTGCACCAAAGCAGATAAGCTGACTTTTTACCTTTTAAAAATATTTTTTGTATATTATTTTCATAAAAAAAGTTCTCCTTAGTCAGAATAACTAAAGTAATTTGTGAACAGCTGAGAGCTTTACAAAGAATTAATTATTTCTTTTTAGGTATCAGAAGTAAACCTAAGAACATTTTTCATGTTCTGAATTTTTGCTGTCTTAGTTTACAAGTGACAGGCTTTACTGCTTAATTTCATTTTCGTTTCTGAGTCATACTTGATTTACATGAAAAATGGTATTTAATTAAAATGTACTAAACAGAATTGCAAAATTACATTTAATTGAATAGATGTACCTTAAACGTGATGAGTATTGTGAAGAAGGAACAAGGATGTGTTCGGTCATGTGCTTTGACAGAGACCAGCATTGCCACCAGATGAAGTAGACTTGCCCTTCTTGCTGCTTCCTCTCCTTGCACAAGTGTTTGTGCAGCAACAGAGTGAGCTGGACCAGGATCAAACCTAATCTGGCCAAAGAAAAGGAAGTTAGTTTTAACCTAAACAAGATCAGTGATTCAGTTCATTATGCTGGCAGAGGGGAGGTGGTAATGTAGTGGTTAGGGATGAGTGTTTGGGGCCTGTTGAGGGCAGAGATTGTTTCTTTTGGCCGCAGCACTGTCTTAAAATGAACTTGACAATGTAGTTTCTATGGCATCTGTACAGAGTCTGGCTTGTGTCCAGCCTACTGAGAGCATAAGCTCAATGTGAGCACGACTGCACCTGACCTGAGAGACAGGCCCTATGTTTATTAAAAACACATTTTGCATTTAAAAACTGACTTGCTAACCAGAGGAAATGCTAAATATTTTCAATTATTTAACTAATTGTTTCAAAAGCATTTAGGTCTGCTGAAAACCCCATTAAACAGTCAAGTGTCTAAAATCTATGAGAGTTAAATGCCTGATCTGCTTTTTTGAAAATTCCACCACTCCTCTAAAACTGACAATTATTTCCAAAATCTAGCCCTTGATCTTAATGGTTTTATGCTGAGTAGGGCTTCTCCTTGTCCAACGTTTTTTAATTCACTAGCTGGAAAAAGAAAAGAAACTTTCCTTCTTCCCACTTTCTAATTGGTGCTGTATCTTATAGTAATATTAGTTTCGCCCTTCCATGAGTTCCCTGAACTTGCTCGCTGAACTTAACCCAAATCTAATAAAAAAAGTCTTTCTAAATAACTAAATGCGGAAAACATAAATAATTTGCATATTATTGCAAAACATTTGTTGCACTGTGAAAACTGAACTAGTTTGGACACTTATGTTATGCAATCTGGGGCATCATGCTGTAATTGGAAGGCTTGCAGTGGTCTTACAGGTACTTCTTGTGAAGTTGTAATGTGTCCCCCACATCCCTACATGCACTGTACTCCAGGGGAGATTCCTTGATGCATTTTTTTGTGTTCATGTAATATTAATGAAGGATAATCTGGGCCTTGAAGACTGAGAATTTGAAATCTATTGTCAAACAGGTATGCTCCTAAAATAAGCATTGATATTTTAACATAAATCCTGTGTCCAAGGGCGAACATATAGTAAGAGGGGTTTTTATGCATTTGGTTTTTCATAACTACTGCTTTTCTGTACAAATAGGAAATTGAAAGTATTCTTTGATACAACATATGATTAAGTATTCATGAATGCTTAAGTTACAGCATAGATTTATAGGCATTTCATGTCAAAACTATGCTACTTATGTGGAGATAATTTGGATCCCATTGCTAGAGCTAAGACAGTTAAGTCTTCAGCAGTTAGACATAAATTTAGATAAATTTAGATAGATGATTTATATCACAGTTTATCCTGCTGATCTGATTTTATCCATTCAACCTGCACCCCACTGAGCTGTAAACCACTGTTCTAGCAGGTTTACAAACCACTCGAAATCTGCAAGACATCAGAAAGGGATTCATTTGGGGGCTGAAATCTAAACAAAATGCTCAGTAAATATTGTAAACCAACACAGGTTACACATCTGAAGAAGATGGTCACAGAAGAAGGGAGGAGCCAAAGACTCCGATGATCATCTGCTTGTGCTCAGAGGCACTTTACACATTTACAGTTGCAGGCCCAAGGATTGGATTAGTGTTTTGGCCAGCTGAGTGTTTTCCTTGGGCACATGATTGTTCAAACACACACAGGAACAGGGTTGTATGTACACAGAATCAAGTCAGGCAGTTACTATCACGTTACAGAAAACTCCAGCAGTGTCCTTGTAGGTTTGTGCTTGAGTCCAAAGTTCCCCTGTGTTGTAGCAGATTCTGGCTACATAGCAGTAGTGAGGATTGTTGTAAGTCATGGCAGTTCCTGAAGTTACAGCAATTTATGCCCACAGTGGATCAGCCTGTCCCATGGAGGGTCATGAGATTTTTTTCATAGGTCTTTCATCGTCCTCTTCCTCTGCCCACTGGTATTTTAAATGAAAGTGATGAGCTCTGAATTTTTCCTATGGAGCATAAAAGTGGGTGTACACCCTTCTGAAGGAATTCTAGGTTTTGAAGCATACAGATGGAGGCACTGTACAGTTTGGTGTTGGGCATCCAAGCTATGTGGAATAGCCTTGTTGGACACATCAGTGCACTAGTCACTTACTGAAATTATTTGTTCTGCTTTTGTATAGTGTAAAGCTAGAGATGGAAGTGCAGCCAAGGAGCTGTGGAATTCAGCAAACTGTTGTCAGATTTGGTTAGGGCCAATGTAGAGGGCCCTATGTTCTTCAAACTGTGTTCTTCAAAATAGGCATCTGACAGTACCTCAATAGGGAATTCACTTTCTAGTTGGGATTTTCAGCTGTCAGCCCTGCTCCAGGTGAGGCCCTTGGTCAAATAATCCATGTTCTTTAAGGTGAGATAGCCTGGGGTTGAGACATTCATGGGGTACCTCAGCCTGAGGAATATCCTCTGTTCTGTCAGGAGGAATGCTTTGTATGTATTTTTGTTCTGCTTGGTACTGAGAGAAGAGAATTCATTTTTCCTCCATATAGGGCAGCATCTGGCTAGTTTTAATGTGTACTTGCCTCCAAAGTGCAAATTGATTTGTTATCTACATTGGCTTTTTTTTTTTTTAAACATACATTGCCTTCTGAAGAATTGGCTTTTTTACCAGGAACTCCATGGTAAATCTCTTTTCACTTTTTCCTATTGAAGTTTTTCTGCTTTTCATAAATAATTTATTCAAGAGACCAGAGGGATGGCTAATGAGAGATTAACTCAATGCCCAAGGGCTAGGGCATTTCCCTGGGATGTGGTAGAGTCAGCCTGCAAGATCTCACTTCAATTAATATTGCTTCCCACATCACAGGAGAGTGTGCTCACTGCTGGGAAACACATTTGTGTGTAAATCTTCAGCTCTCTTTTGTGTATGCTGGCCAGGCACTGGCCTATATATTAGAAAAAAAAAAAAATACCAAGTTTAAGAATTCTGCAGAGACTCCAAGTCATAAAGTAGACACACAGTTAAGGAGAGCTGTTAGGATTTTGGGTGGCATTAAGTATCCAAATGGGAAATTGGATTCAATGTATTCTTCTTAATCTGCACCTGAGCAGGGATTTCAGTGGTTCTGCATGTTGTATTTGGACCCTTGCAGGGGGTTTTGACGGAGCTATGGTGGATCTTCTTGTAGTAATTTAAGTTACTGCATGCAATTTCCCCCCATGCTTGTGGTTCTTACCCCTTGAGAATCAGCAGAGAATAGGTTTGCTCCAGCTCTTACTCTGCTGTTCCAGTTCAAACCCACCTCCATCAGCCCTCTAAGCCAAACCACTGAGCTTTACACAGAACGAAGTGAATTGCCTTTGCATATTCTTTTTGG